GTATTCTACGTGCTATATCAAACGTAAAAAACAATTACCATACAGTATGATTGTATATTACTAATCGTGGCTATTAGGAATAATTTATTTGTACATTACATGAGCTTCATAGCTGTTTCACTACAGTTTTACATGAAGAAAGATTGTGTCGCTGTTGTAATACAATAGTACTATATTACTGTGACAGCTCTTGAATGCAGTATCCGTAGCCGGTGCGGATTTTAATATAATCGGAGGATGCTCCGCCTTTAAAGGAGGACTTTCGATTACGTATTTTAAAAATCTTGATTACGACAGGACGGAGATGAAAACAAAGTGTTCATAAACAAGCCAAAGCCTAGATCTGTCTGAAGAAAACAAGTATAGTAAAGTCGTCGTGGAGCACTGATCTGAAACAATCTTTTTATCATCTTTTCAGGTACTGGAACGGGTGAAAATACGGTGATTGATATGTCTGTTTCAGAGGTATACCGCTATGTGTAAATGTTAAGTATGATTTTTATTTTTATCAAACGTCTGTACAACAACGGCTACATGTTTCCTGCAGATGTTACGCACATCAGTGCATGCACATTACTTGCAGTGATTGAAAAATGGATAATGTGAACGTGAATTCAAACAAATGAGTTTATTTTGGTCCAGATCTGTTGTAAAAGGTAATTTGTAATATTCTGGAATACGTTTATGATTGCAATATTCGGTGATGTATGCCAGCAGACAGGCAATGGAGTCCGCATATACATAGATAGTTAATAGTCTTTTCCTGTCCCAAAAGTGACAGTAGCAGCTGCCCCTGTAAAACACATCAGCTCGTCGTAGCTAGTAACATACCCGGGCAAACGCGAAATGTAATCTGCCTGAATTAAGTATATGCTATGCATTGAAAATATAACAAGATGAAACAGAAAAAAAAAACAAAATAGTTAATTGTGCATCCCGGAAACTGTGCTGATGATGAGCTGTCTGGTGTAGACATTTCGTGTAGACAGGACGTTTGCTGACAAATATGTGCTTAAGAATAGATGGCATTCTACCCTCGTTTCTATCGGGAAAATCTATGCGTGGGAAAGGCAGTAACCTCTAACAGACCTTTAAAGACTTGCAGTCTTTCATTTTAATAAGAAGAGAAATGTTTTTGTAAATAGTAATTTGGGGGAAAAACGTATTTAATGAGGAGTTTTTATTTCGGTTGTTGGTGCTGTCGGCCAGTATATAGGAACGTTTCCAAATGCTCCGCTTGTAACTGGTTCAGGCTGTCAACAATAACTGTATTTTTTGTGGAAAGTGGGGAAAAGCAAGCATTGAGTAATTCTGACGAAAAAAAGTACTGAACACATTATTAGGAAAAGTTATTTTATGAAAAGTGCGATGAAATCGAAGACCAAGTCTTGTAATCTCATGTAATTACTGTGAAGACTTATTCAGATTCACAGGATTTTGTTACCAAGAATACTAAATCTTGTACATTCTCTTACTTCATTATTTGACACCTGTTTACGTGAAGGGGTATATATAACTTTATTCCTTAATGGTATGTACAATTCCTGTATTAAACATGAAGTGTTTATATGCAATACATCTTTATGTACCTAGATCCAGAGAAAAGCAGAAAGAATACATAGATAATGAATCAGCTGAGATAAATGGGCCCACTGTAAACCTATAATTCCAGCATGATGTATTTTAGTTTTTTAACCTAATTTTGTATTGTAATATATGAAATCAAGTACAGAGGTGAATCTGAAAAAAAAAACAGTGAAGCAAAATTAGTGGATAAATTGCCTAATGAATTTACACATGAGTTTTTTTTTTCCCCTTGAAATACATTTTCTAGAAGTCTTGTACCTATATGGCTAATAAAATAAAGGGACATTTTTTATGTATGTCATAAAGTATTTATAATCTGCCTGAAACTAATATATAAAAAAATGTCTGAATGTTTACTTGCTTATTATTGTTACACAGGCTATACTGGGGTTGGAGCTGAACATAGCATTTAAAATAGCTGACATGGAAAAGGAAAACAACACCATGTCCCTTTGCAAACTGGCTGCTGCCAAAAATTGCTCAGAATATCCTTACAGACCCAATGTACAGTAAGCAGCGCTGTGCAGTTATAATGTAGTTAGACACACTGGTCAGGTTACTAGCACGCTATTTTTACCTGCACATCTTCTGTCAGTCTATAACAGATGAGATGGCGGTGATAAGGACATTGTATCATCTCTTTTCTGGCCACCTTATCTAAAAAAGTGTTAACTTTTCTAAACATTTCTAAGAAGCAAAAAAAATTCTAATGTGTGGGTCTATGATACATAATGTACAATGTCATATTTAAGGGGTGGGAGTGCTTATGTTATTCAGTATTGGGTTGAGAAAAATGTATAAATTCTGTTCATTAAAGAGCCACTAGAAGGCATGGAAAACACAATCCACGTGACACAATCGTTGTGTCTCGATTTATTCTGTGTGAACTCGTTAGTCAATTTATCCTCTAACTTTGCTGTCTTTACTTTTTTTTAATTTCCCTCTGTATTTAAATGAGATTGTCCATAAATGAGTGTACAGTCTCTTCACTATTCTGATATTTTATATTTTCACTGAATGTATATTCTTGTCTCTTTTTTAAGGTACTATAAATTGGGAAGAAAATACAGAAGAGAGTTGTTGATACAATGATAGGAAGAATTGCCAGCCTACTTCTTGGCAATACAACAAATGAAGATGTGAGTGAAAGCAGTGATGTTGAGGAACTCTTTGAGTTTGAAGAGGGTGAATGGGTCATCATCAACATTCAAGGTGAGTCCATCGACAGCCATCCCAAATACTTTTTTTAAACTCATTAATCCAAACAAGATGAGAATAAGAAAGATCTAACCTTATTTCTGCTTTAAAAACAAATTCTCAAAATGTTTCCAATTACTATAGAATACAAAACTTGAAATAAAATGCTGAGGTTGTAAAATGACCCACACTATAAATCATACCATGATAGCCAAGGAGCAATGTACAGTTTCAGTGTAGATTTCAAAATGCTAATAGAA